CCTTTCACCATCTTATTTCAGTTTGTATGCTAAGCAAAGATTCCAAGAAGCTGGAAAATATGAAAAAGAACACTGTATCAGAATTATAAGGAGGCTCAATGGCACAACCTTGCTCCCAGAAAGTAACGAGGAATTTCAGAATTTATTGATGAAGATAAAAGATGATATCAACAACAAGGAGGACATAGAGATGCTGGGGGTGTTGGAGCAAAAGCAATCTAGCTGAGAGGAAGTACTAAGAGGCAAAAGAAGGGCAAGCATGATGGTGGGGCAGGAGGAAATTAAAAGGAAACAGAGGAAAGATCTAGGAAGCAAAACTATGGATAGAGATATAAATGGAGGTGTGCATTTATGTAAATGTATTAATTCATAAAAATAGAGGCATTGGCTTATGTACATATATTTGTATGGCAATACATTTAGGTAGTGGATGGACTTCGGGCCTCTGCTCATGCCCTCCCTCAATGCAAGAACACTTTGTTCTAACAACTTGGCATTCTGTGATGCTCACCCTCCCAGCACAATTGTTGAAGATCAAATGCGTGCATAAGCAAATGTGGTGACGAAAGCAGATAGTTCCCGGCTATCAAAAGGCATAGCTTCTGGGTTCTTAAAGGCTTGATGTTAAACAAGTGGCTATCTAGTAGAGAAGCTACAAGCTCACATGGAAGAAGCACATCAGTTTGTGCGATCATTAGGTGCCGACAGGACCAGGTAACAGGCATCAGAAGACCCCAAACAAACAACAACAAAAAAACCATATTGTGGAGAATGAGGAGGATCAAAGCAGAGACCCAAAACCCATCTGTTGACAATGGGACATCCTCTCACAGAAGGGTCACAAGGAAAGGATGAGTCAACCAGGGCACAGTAAAGCACAGATAAAACACACAATATTCCTCTGGTTCCTTGAGGCTTCCTCACCCCCAGTCCAGCCTTTCACTTCAGGCTAAACCGGCACATGTGTACAGGTACAGATAAGAGATACGAGCTCATGACACACTGACTGAATCCAGGAACAGGAATGGGAGTAGTGATACCAGAAGGGTAGGGGGAAATGGGGGAGAAGAGGGGAGGAAGGGAGAACCGATAGCACTGATTGACACATAGCCACACACACCCATCCAGGGGGATGAACAACAGAAACCACAGGGGAAGGGAGACAGTAGTCAATGTAAGATATGAACATAATAATAATTTATAATTTATCATGGGGTCATAAGGGTGGGAGGTGGGGAGGGAGGGAAAAAAGAGGAGCCAATACCAAGTGCTTCATAGAAAGTAAGTGTCTAGAAAATAATGATGGCAACATATGTACAAATATGCTTGATACCATTGATGTATGGATTGCTATAAGAGCTGTAAGAGCCCCCAATAAAATGTTCTTTTAATAATTAAAAAAAGTGAAAAAGATAAAAGATGACAGATTATAATGTTGGATTTTATATCTCAGTATAAACCATTTACAGGACCAATAAGCAACAACATGAGAAACAGAAAGTATTGACGTTAACCAAGATTTCGTTTTACTTGCATCAATGCCCAGAGAAGCTTCTGTTGTAAGGTGCATTCCAGTTGATTCCCACTGATGGGAACCCTGTGCACCACACTGCGCCAGCCCTGCATCACCCGTGCAATTGTTCCTGTGCTTGCGCCCATTGATGCAGCCACAGTGTCAATCCATCTCATTGAGAGCCTTCCTCTTTTTACTGCCCCTCCAGTTGACCAAGCTTGATGTCCTTCTCCAGTGGTTAATCTACTGACAACGTGTTCAAAGTACACGAGACAAAGTCTCGCCATCCTTGACTCTAAGGAGCACTCTGATCATAGTTCTTCCAAAACTGACTTGTTTGTCCTTTTGGCAGGCCATAGTACTTTCAATATTCTTCCCTCACACCACAATTCAGATAAATTCTTCTTCGGTCTTCCTTATTCAATGCCCAATTTTCACATGCATATGGATTGAAAATACCATAGCTTGGGTTAGGCACACCTTAGTTGTCAAAGTCACACCCTTACTTTTCAATTCTCTAACGAGGCAGCAATACCCAGCACAATGCATCATTTGAGCTCTTGACTGCTGCTTCTAACAGCAGTGATTGTGGATCCAAGCAAGACTGAATCCTTGACAACTTCAATCTTTTCTCCATTTACCATGATGTTACCTGTTGGTTCAATTGTGAGGATTTGGGTCTTTACATTGAATTGTAATCCTTACTGAAGGCTACCATCCTTGATCTTCATCAGCAAGTGCTTCAGGTCCTCCTCACTTTCAGCAAGCAAGGTTGTGCCATCTGCATACCATATAGGTTGTTAATAAGCCTTCCTGCAAACCTGATGCCGCATTTTTCTTAATATAATCCAGCTACTCTGATTATTTGCTCTGCATACAGATTCAATAACTATGGTGAGAAAATACAATCCTGACACACTTTCCTGATTTTAAGCCATGCAGTATTCCATTGTTTGTTCTGACAACTGCCTCTTCATCCATATACACGTTCTGAATGAGCACAATGAAGTGCTTTGGAATTCCTATTCTTCTCAAGTTATCCACAGTTTATTATGGTCCACACTATCAAATGTCTTTGCATAGTCAATGAAACACAAGTAAATAGCTTTCTGATATTCTCTGCTTTGACCCAAGACCCATCTGACATCAGCAACGATATCCCTTGTTCCAAGTCCTCTTCTGAATCCAGCTGACTCTCTGGAAGCTCCTTGTTAATGTACTGCCACAATCCTTGTTAGATGATCTTCAGCAAAATTTTACTAGCATGTGATAACAATGATACTGTTCTACAGTTTGAACATTCTATTAGGTCGCCTGTGTTAGTCTGGGTACTTTAGAGAAACAAATCCACAGAAACTCATGTATAAGAGAGAGTTTTATATAAAGCTTAAGTGCATATCAAAGAAAACATCCCAACCCAGTGCTGCCCAAACCCACAAGTCCACCATTAACTCATATGTCCAACACCAGTCCACAAAGTCCTCCTCCATCTCACAAAACAGAGGCAATGATGCCGACTGCAGGAGGAAAGCTGAGTCAGTGAATGTGTAAGCATCTCAGCGCTGGCAGGGGTCTCCACATGGCTGCTCCAGCACCCAGGGCTACATGTGTTTATCGGCTAGGTTGACACAATAAACTAATTAACTCATCGCCTTTCTTTGCTATAAGTATAAATGTGGATCTCTTCCAGTTAGTTGTCTTCAAATTTCCTGACATGAGTTAGTGCTTGCAGCACTTCATCAGCTTGTTGAAATATTTCAGTTGGTATTCCATCAAAAGCCTTATGCATGGCTTTAAAAACCCATAGAAGCACCTATCAAGAAACCAAAGTACATATTGCACTGGGAAAATCTGAGACCTCTTTAAAGCATTAAAAAGTAAAAATGTCACTTTGAGAACTAAGGTGCACCTGACCCCAGCATGGTCTTTTCAATCACTTCACACGCGTCTGCATATGGACAATTAATTAAGATCAAAGAAGGGATGCCTTTGAATTGTGTTGTTGGCAAAGAATACTGAATACACTATGGACTGCCAGAAGAAAGACCAATGTCGTTGAAGCCGTGTAGCCAGAATGCTCCTTAGAAGGGAGGATGGTGAGACTTGGTTTCAAATACGTTGGACGTGTTGTCAGGCGGGGCCAGTGTTCCTGGGGAAGGACATCATACTTGGAAAAGTAGAAGATCATCAAAAAAGAGGAAGGCCCTCAACGTGATGGATTGACACAGTGACTGTCACAATGGCCGCACACCTAGCAAGGATTGTAAGGGTGCTGCAAAGCGAGGTGATGTTATGCAAAACCAAGGATCACTGTGCATCACAACTGATGGGAAGGCACTTAGCAATGACAAGTCACCTGTCGGTTTCATCTTGTTCGATCCAGCAGCTTTTTCCTTATCCTGAGCTTACAAAATAGTTCACCATCTGCTTCCTCTGCAATACTTCTTCGCTCTGCTTCCATGCCAGCATTGAATCCCTTTGATTCCCGCGTTAAATTAAGGCACCGCAGGCTTCTTTTTCATCACTCTCTCCTTACATGATTGTTCATTCCATTTCATACTTTAGTATCCCACACTTGTAATGACTCCCCAAAGCACTGACCTCTACTCTTAGCCCCAAGTCAAAGGTACACAGTTGTTCACTTAACATCTCTTCTTGGCTACTGCAAGCCGTAAACACCTCTGAGCAAATGTTTCCCAAGAGAATTATGATTATTCACAGCATGACGGTTTGTTGTGTCTTCAATAGAATCTGCTCCATAGTTGACTTCAAGGACTCTTTGAATGAAGGCTGTTGAGTGAGAACAAATATACACAAAATGGTTTGTACAATTATAAGTAAAAATACGATATACATAAACCCTACAGTGGTTTGGGGGGAAAAAATCAAAATTTTATAAGTGGCTGTCCGTGGCATGGTGAAAGTTTAGTATATATTTTACTTTTTTCTCTTTTCCAGTTTTCTTCAGAGTGTAGTCCTTAGAGTACAAATATTTGGAATCAGATTGACCTTTGCCACACTGCCACTTACTAGCAGTACAACCCAGGTTTCCTTATGTGTCAAAGGGGCTTAATAATATACAGCTCATTTGTGTTTAGTTAGCGTCCACAAGGACTTTACTGTGAAGTTATGCATGTCAGGAACTTGACACGGTGTGGAGCATATGCAGAAAATACTCCCTGAGAATAAGAAGGTATGCTTTTAAAAAATAAGCATACAGTTTAAAAATATGCATTAAAAAAACCCATACATTCTTAGACTTTACAGGAAGGCGTGAAATAGAACCTCACGGGCACAAACCCGCGCGGTCCTAGTGCCCCCGCTCCTGCTGGCGTGGCTCCTTTAAGAGCGTGAGCCGGTTCCGGGTGCTTCTTCCGCCCACGTGACGCGCTTACGCCCCTCCCCTCTTCCAAGATGGCGGCGCCCGTGGGCTCCGGCCGCACGTGAGGGAACATCTGGGCGCCCCGGCACACAGAGCGAGAGTGTGCGATCCAGCGTTCCCTCCTTGCTAGTCATTGGATCTTTTCGTCCCGTTCCGCGCGCTCGTGCGTCGCTGCCTCTCCGCGGCCATGAAGATAAAGCCCGTTTCCCACAAGACCGAGAACACGCACCGGGTGAGCTAGAGAACTTGGGGCCAGAGCCGCGGGTTCCGGCCGACCCACCCGGGGTCCGGCTCTGGGCGTCATCTCGGGGCTGCTGAGTTCTAGGCCCGGCGCGAGCCCCTTGCTCGGAGGTTCCAGCCAAACAGGCAAACTCTGGGGCGGCTATGGCGGGCGCGAGAAGTGCATCTCCTGCGGCCTGACGGCCCGAGTCCCCGAACAGCACATTTCCCTGGGGGTCGTGGGGTCGGGCCAGCCGTGGGAATTCCAGTCTTCAGTCCAGCGTGAACGTTATTGTCACCCAGGTGCCCGGTGAGAGGCGGGGTGGTCATTTCCCGCTGAGAGCGACGTCACCACAAGCAGTTTGCCTGATTGCTGTTTGCCCAGGTCTTTGGAGGCCCGTAACTTGTATTTTGTTTAAAATCACTGTTGGTCAAAAGTCAGCCACGTACCTGTTCTTGTAATGAAACCTAAGAGCAGATCTAGCAAAGGCCAGTTCGCCCCAGCCGAGCGTTGGCATTTTATTTTAAATGAAAGCGCTGAGAGGACTTCTGCAAACCTATTTGGAGGTGGATTTATTGTCGTTGAGTCAAAGAGTCGTGCGTTTGCTTAAGGCTCTGGCTCTTGCTGTTTTGCCATTACACCCATCCCATGGGCTCCAACATTGTTGTCTGTGTTTAGTTTCAAAAGGTCAATTCTACATGCCGTGAACGATAGGAAACAAAAGTTCAAAATTGTCACGGCAGTAAGCGAAGCACTCTGTTACTTGTAATGACAGTAAGTGAAAAGGCTTCTTGAAGAATTCAGAAGAAGGCTGAGGACTACGCTATAAACGTTCTGCGCAAGTGATTTCTGTGCAATAGTCGGATAGTCGGGATGTGTTACGTATTCAATGATGCTGTATCTTAGATCCATGCCTTCTCTCTCCACAGTTTCTTACATTTGCTGAACGACTAGGGAATGTGAATATCGATATTATTCACCGGATTGATAGAACCGCAAGCTATGATGAGGTAAGTGAATGTTAGCTAGATCATCAAGTATTGATAGTCATTTGTTTCATGTCTCTCTTTAGTAAAAGTGAATTAATTGTGTTCCAGGTCATTCCTATTGAAGTGTGAAATGCATGATACCTACACTGTCCAATACAGTGGTCTTGTGTTGCAAATGAGACATAAAGTAAAAATCCAAGTGCTTAATCGTTGTAAGTGGCTACGCACTGCTGTACTGGACAAGTGCAGATATAGGTTTCTGCTGCTGTAGAATGTTCTATTGGGTGGTGGTGCATTAGGCAGTTACTTGATAGATATGTCATTATTAATTACCCCAAAAGGTTGTAGCAGTTCCTAGTTCCACGAGGAGACTAACAGAACTGTGAAACGCCAGCCCGTTTTTTCTGAGCATGAAATTGTGAAAAACAGACAGACCAAACCCGGCAAAATGCGCTCCCTTTGTGGAGCGTGGCTCACATTTCAGAGAATCATTTACTGTCACCCAACTAGCAGCGCAATGTTTTTATCCGTCAGCTGTCCCTGTGGGACTTCTGATTGTTTTTCTTATTGTTTTAAAGTATGACTATAGCTTTCCCCACCCCCTCGGACTTTGATCATAGTTTTTCTTTGAGCTCTCTGATTAATGCATTGTTTTATCCTTGGCAGGAAGTCGAAACCTACTTTTTTGAGGGGCTGCTGAAATGGAGAGAATTGAACCTTACAGAACACTTTGGTACTTTCTATTTGTCTCTATTTTATGTTCCCATACTGTATATGTTCTAGGCAGCTACATGACGATGTGATTTTAAAAAACACACATAACTTGTTCTTTTTTCCCTCCCCACCCAGGGAAATTTTACAAAGAAGTTATTGACAAATGCCAGTCATTCAACCAATTGGTCTATCATCAAAATGAGATCGTTCAGAGTTTGAAGACTCACCTGCAAATTAAGAACAGTTTTGCCTACCAGCCTCTTTTGGAGTAAGTAGCAATTTAAGAGAAAATTCAACAACATTTATCTGAATTTTAAGAAGAGTTGTGTTTCTTTGCTACATATGCCTTAGCTCCAAACCAAAAACTTAATGCCATTGAGTCAATTTTGACTCATAGCAACATTATAGGACAGGGTAGAACTGCCCCTGTGAGTTTCCAAGACTAATTCTTTATGGGAGTAGAAAGCCTCATCTTTCGCCATGCCTTAGTTCAGGTGCTTATAATTTAGAAGCAAGAGCAATTTGCATTTTGGGTTACATTACAATATTTTAAAAAGACAGGGCTCTCTACTCCCATAAAGCATTACCGTCTCGGAAACTGAACAGAGCAGTTTCTAACGTGTTCTTTAGGGTCACTGAGTCGGAAACAACTCGATGGCAGTGAGTGATTTTACCATAAAGCACAATCTTAAGAGTATGCTTTTTAAAAAATGGTTTTATCCTCCTAAGGGAAACACTTAAACCTGTGGCCATCAAGTTGATTCCACTCAGAAAGACTTATTGGACAGAGTGGAATTGACCCACAGGGATTCCAAGACGGTAGATCTTTATAGAAGTAGACAACCAAATCTCTCTCTCCACAGAGTGATTGGTGGTTTTGAACCGCTGACCTTTTGGTTAGCAATCAGTTGCTTAGCCACTGTACCACTGAAGCACCTTGTATATACCTAAGGAAACCCTATTTTTCTTTAATACCCTAGAAATGACTGGCCATAACTTGTAATGGAATGCACCTACTTAGCCTAATCCAATTTCTCTGACCAACTCTGAAAGATGTGAAGAATTTCATAACTCATTGACCTTGGTTTAGAAGGGTTTTGGCTTAATTATTCCAGTGGTTATAGGCCATTGACCATTGCTTCTGAGACAAATATGTAGCCTTTGTTTATCATCTCTATTACTCGGAATCAGTTGCTTCTATTTATGTTAATTGCAGCAAAAATACATAATAGCAAGACACATCCCATTTCAACATTGTTTGCATGTACATTTCAGTGACACAGTTATACTGACCATGTCATCACCAGTGTCTTCCAAAGTTTTCCACCACTGGAAGTGGAAACATTGTGCCCCTTAAGCAAAAACAATAACGCTGCTTTCATTTTCAATCCAGCTTGGTTGTGCAGTTGGCGCGAGATCTGCAGACGGACTTCTATCCACACTTTCCGGATTTTTTTCTGGCCATCACATCTATCCTGGAGACCCAGGACACGGAGTTGTTGGAATGGGCGTTCACCTCGCTGTCCTATCTGTACAAGTACTTATGGAGACTGATGGTGAAGGACATGACCAACATCTACAGGTGGTTCCTTTCCGCTCGTTATTTGTAAGATTGCCTTTGCCTTTTGTCCTGGCTCCTCTCTGGCACCGAACTAATGCTCTAGCGTGATCTCTTGTGGTCTCTTCATACCAAGTCCTCCAGTCTGAAGCCTTCATTGGCCTGGCCTGGCCCTCTCTCCAGCTATTAGAATCATGCCCACTCCTCAAAGGCTGGCATGCATCCCATAACCTCCTCAAATATCCCGTGCCCTGTAGTGAGACATGAGGGCTCTAAACTCTGAACCCTTTTAGCATTTTTGTGCCACTTTTATTTCCTGGTTGTTAGTGTAATTGCTTCCTTATTTTGTAATTATGTCTTCTAAAAGCCTATAAACTCTTTTTTTAAAACCCCTCATAAATATTTGCATTTTCCCAGACCCTAGCGTACTTCCCTGAGGCACTCATGTATTTGTGAATGAATGTGGACAGGGAGAGAATAAATTGCATAGAGCTTTTTGTTTAAGAGAAAGATGGCTTCTTCCTTGATTGATTCTGGGATGTGGTAGAAGTTTCCATTTGGTTGTTTCTCCCTATCACAGGAATACATAAGATCAACTCCTTATCTCCCAATAAAAGAGCTGCCTGGTTCGGTTCAAAACCAAACCAAAGCTAACTCATGGCCAACAAGTTGATTCCCACTCACAGCGACCCTATTAGGCATAGGAGAATGGCCCATGTGAGTTTTCAAGGCAAAAAATCTGTATGGGAGCAGACAGCCTCATTTTTCTCCAGAGGTGCATTTGAACTGCTGACCTTGTGGATAGCAGGCAAATGCATAGCTGACTGCACTGCCTGGAAGGGTGGATTTGGGTTTTTGTTCCCTTCCCTATCCTCTCTTCTAGAAGGAGCTGTGAACAAAGCATGAGAACTACTTTTACCATCCTTGGTCTTGGGGGAACATGGTTGGTTGGTTCTGATGACTAGTCTCCTAAGCAGTCTATATTGAATGCTGACTACTGGGAAACCTGTGAGAGCTGGAACTCAACGGGACTGCTTTGTTTACCCGGCTCGCGCAAGTTTTCCGCCTTAGGGTGCAGTCTTTGCCACTCGACTTAGTGACAGATATTTGAGTTTTCCTTCCAGGCCAGTCCCGCCTTTCACAGGTTGTGGCATGTCAGTCAGGCTGGGTTTGGCTGTCTATTTTCTGGCAGTCCAATGCTTCATGCATTTTCTGGTCACTGGGACTTGGTGCCTTTGAGGCATCTTTGCCCCACTTATCTTCAGGAACTCCAGGTCTTCTTCTTTAATCTTGTACTCACTCAGGAATGGTCACGGAGCACTGTGTGTCAGGTCTTTGAGATGCAGTCACAAGTAGGACATAACAATTCCAGCTCTGGTGGAGTTGAGGTTCTAACGGGGATAACACGTTGGGTCCATTTCTGGCGGACCATTTCAGTGAGCAGCGAGGAGTCCTGTGTGGCTGGGGCAGCATGAGTAAGGGAGAGAGTAGTTAGCCGATGTCAGAGAATTAGGGGTGGGTATATGTGGGGCGGGGAGATCGTAAAGGGCCTTGTGGACCATTGTAAAGTCTTTGGTTCCACTGCACAGACTCTGGAAATGTCTCCTGAGCTCATCCGTTGGAACTTCTCTCTACTTTGCCCTGCTTTGCCCAGATTTGTGAAAGTTGAGCAGCTTTCTATATAACTGGACTGCTAGCCTCTTCTTTTTCTCTTCCTTTCATCCTGTATTCTGCCAAATTAATCTTTCTGAAAGTAATCATTTCATTGAGGCAGTGTTTATTAATCCCTGCTATGGGTAAGGACTGTTAGGTACTAAAACAAGAAACCCACTCCCAAGGCAATTCCAACTCCTGGCAACCTAATACGCGGTTTCTGAGGCTGTAAATCTTTATGGGAGCAGGCAGTCTCATCGTTCTCTGCCGAAGCAACTGGTAAGTTTGAACCACCAACCGTGAGGTTAGCAGACCAACGCTTAGCTGATGGCACCACCAGGGATCCTTGTTAGGCACTGGGACGAGACATAATAGTGCTCTTCTGACATCGGGGGGCCGGGTTTAAACAACATAATTATACAAGTGATTAGTTATGGTTGCGATCTTGAATGAGTTGCTTATGCTTCAGTGTCATTATCTGTAGAAGGGGCTAGCGATAAAACCTCCCCCACTGGGTTGTAGTGACTAAATGAGGTAACACAGTAAGTGCTCGGTCCATGTCAGCTGGAGTCCAAACACCTCTGTGTGCTCTCCAGAGCAGTTTACTTCGGCAGCTGGGTCTGCAGAGACCCACCTGTCCATGTGTTTTTCTCGTTCAGCCTCTTCTTTTTGCCCAGAGCTATTTCTGATGGCCTCTTCTCCGAGCTTGCTTCATCTCTTGAAACAAGCTCTCCAGCCCCGACCCGAGACCTTCCTGTTCAGGCTCATCGTCAGGTCTTCTCGTTCCATGTAGCCCTTCCTGTAAGACCAGCTCCACCAATCCCAAGCGTCTTAGTATCTGGACCTTCAGTCTTCTGCTAAGCATTTGGGTGTCCCATGAACTGAATGAACACTTTAAGTCCTTGTTTTATACCTGGCGGTTATCCTTTGAACAGCTAGCACAGTCTCATGTAGTTGGTATTCAAGTATGTGTATCTTCATTAAAATGTGCCCTGATAATTAAACCGGCTTGATTTTCTCGTTCCATAGCATGTACAGTACACTCCTGGCTCATAAAAAGCTGCATATAAGAAATTTTGCTGCTGAGAGCTTTACTTTTCTCATGAGAAAGGTCAGTCTGATCACTTATTGAAAATTAACCTTCAAGAATGTCATGTGATTTTTTTTCTTTTGTAATATGGTTTTCAATTAACTCTTTTTTTCTTTTTTAATACATAGATAAATCCATTGCTAGCTTATCTCACTGTTAAGTTTACTTTTTTCTCACTAATGGGAGATACTTTGAATCACTCTGGTTATTCATATTTGTGTATCTGTAAACAAACGAAAAACCAAACTCACTGCCATTGAGTTGAGGCTGACTTGTAGAAAGTAACCCTACTGGACAGGGTAGAACTGCCCCTGTGAGTTTCTGAGCCTCTACTTCTTTACAAGAATAGAAAGCACTGTCTTTCTCTGAGGAGTAGTTGGTAGTTTTGAACTGCTGACCTTGCAGTTAGCAGCCCAGTGCCTCACCACTCTGCCTCCAGGGCTCTGTGTCAGTTAATGCACAGCCAGGTGAACAGAAATCTTCACGGTAACTATGCAGAAGCCTCTCATTGCATAATTTGTGTTTGTTTCCGCTGTAAATTTTTAGAGGTTGGCAGTTCAGGTTGACCCAGCGGCTCCTCAGAAGAAACTAAAACCAAGCTTACTGCCATTGATGGATTCTGACTCATATCGACTGTATGGGACAGGGTAGCACTACCCCTGTGGGCTTCCTAGACACCTTATGGGAATGGAAAGTCACCTGCCTCTGTTTCTCTCAGGGGCCCTGGTGGAGTTGGACTGCTGACCTTGTGGTTAGCCTGACTACAAAACTATGCCACCAGGACCCCTGCCCCAAGAAAGACCCCCAATTAGCTCTTGAAAACCGTTTGAAACCCATTCCTACTCAGATGCATGGAGTTCCAGGAGTCTGACTTAACTGGTAACTGATGTTTGTTTACATGTAAAAGAGAAACACTGGTGTTGTTCCCTTTGTGTTTATAAATCTGAAAGGTAGTATATTGCCTTAGGTGGCTTTGCCCGATACTTAACCTTCAAGACCACACTGACAAGTAATCCTTCTTCTGTGTGCCATTTCAAGTGCAAGTATACTGTTGTGGTCATGGGAGAGCCTTAGTATGTCTCTTCCTTGTCGTGTCCTCTAATTATATTTAAGAATGAAGCTGGAAAATACCAAAGTAGATGTCTTCATTTGTATATGTTCATGCTGTAAATAGAAGTGTTCCTTTTATATTTTAGGTTTCTGATAAAAATATGCTTTTCAACTTAATGTTTCTTGACCTGGATAAGCATCCTGAGAAGGTGGAAGGAGTTGGACAGTTGCTCTTTGAAATGTGTAAAGGAGTCAGAAACATGCTTCACTCCTGTACAGGCCAGGTGAGGAGAGGGGCCAGATAGGAAAGATACTGTGGGTCTGTGTCAGAGAGATTCAAAAGGAAAGAATCAGGCAAAGTATGTAGATGATGTGTAGAATAAGTAGAACATCCTTAGCAGGAATGTTAAGGTGCTTAGCTCACCTCATTTGGCCCCTGGTGATTGAGTGTTCCTGCTTACTCACACACTGTTGTGGCCCTCATCCTAGACACTCGGATAGAATGTAAAATAAAGTTGGTTAATGGGTGAGGTTGGGGAGGGGACGGTGGAATGATAAAGTTAGCTATTATTACTAGAGGGGTAAATCACACTGTAATACTTCAAAATGAGGGTTTGCCTGCTTCTTTTAATGATTCTTGGATTCCCACAGGCGGTCAGACTACTTTTGCAAAAACTAGGACCTGTTACCGAAACAGAAACGCTGCTCCCCTGGAGCTTCATTGGAGAAACCCTGAAAAGCATGGTCAGATCCACAGCGTTCTACGTCTACAAGGAACATTTTGGTACATTTTTTGAGTGTTTGCAAGTGAGTTCTAATTTTAAGCATCTTCCCCTGCCCCGGCCACTTACAGTGCGGCTTTTAATTGATCTCTGGAGCAACAGCAGAACACAATCATTACGAGACAAGCTTCAGCACTTGATTGCTTGCTGTGTTCAGCCTTGCGCGGTAACTTCCTGCCAGTGGGCCTAGGGAAAGTTATTTAAAGCAGGAATCCTCAAACTTTTTAAACAGGGGGCCAGTTCACTGTCCCTCAGACCCATTGTAGGGCCGGACTATAGTTTAAAAAAAACTATGAACAAATTCCTATAAACACTGCACATATCTTATTTTGAAGTAAAAAAAAACGAACGGGTCAAAAATACCCGGTGGGCCAGATAAGTGTCCTTGGCGGGCCACATGTGGCCCGCAGGCCGTAGTTTGAGGACCACTGAGTCTGTTTCTTAGCCTTCTCATCTGCTAAATGGGTAATCTGAGTGTCTACCACAGCATTGCTCCGAGAATTGTGAGTAAATACGAGGTAGCCTCAAGTAAATCATGAAAAGTGGAATTAAAAGGCAATGGAAATTTTCCATGACCCTTTGGTATGCTTAAATAACTTGGGACAAAAGGGTCAGCAGTTATTAGCTTTCTCTTCCATGGGGGATTGTTGGTAAATGTATCTTTTTCTTCTAACCCTAAAAGGATGTGGAAAGTTGAAACTGCTTCACACAATATGTTCATTGTTGGATTGACCGGTGCGTTGTTGTTGTCTTATGAAACTCTTCTGCAGGAATCCCTCCTGGGTCTACATACTAAAGTAACCCCAATGAACTGCTCTGAAAGCTCTGACCAGATGAGAAGATTATTAGCAATGTATCTGATACTTGTGCAACATGGCAATGGGTCCAAGGTAACCCACCCTGTTGCCGTTTGTAAGGTGAGTCCCCGGCTTCATTTGCTTAGAGTTTGCACATTAAAATTGGACTGGTTAAAAAAAAAATTTAAAAAAAGATTGATGAGTGCATCCTTTTTACCTTCATTTTACAGGTATTGTCTCAAACATTGCAAATAGCCAATCTCTCCTCACCTTGCCGGGAGACACTCTTGGATGTGATATCTGCTTTGATCCTAGGAGAGAATATTTCCTTGCCCCAGACTCTCATCAAAGAAACCATAGAAAAGGTAATTTACTCCAAAATAGATTAATTGAGCAGTTAGCAATATGTTGAGCATTGATAAGCCTCCTAAATAAACAAACAAAAAAACCATACTCACTGCCATCGAGTTAATTCTGATTCTTAGTGACCCTGTAGGACAGGGTAGAACTGCCCCTGTGGGTTTTTGCAGCTGTAGAAAGACTTGTCTTTCTCCTGCAGAGCACCTAGTGGTTTCAAACTACTGACCGTGTGGTTAGCAGCCTAATGTGTTAGCACTACACCACCAGGGTTCCTGGATAAACCTCCTAGGGAAGCCAGAGGAAGCCAGACAAAAGCTCTGCCCTCAAAGAATTTGTTAAGGAGATTCTTCTTGTGTGCTGAGTTAGTTTGACTCATTAAGAATCTTTGCACACTGTGTGATCGATCATGAGGTGTCGATGGGATCAGGTACCAGGCATCAAAGACTCAACAAAAAAATCATATCAACGTGAATGAGGGGGAGGGCTGAGTGGAGACCCAAAGCCCATCTGTAGACAATTGAAAATCCCTACAGAAGGGTCACAAGGGAGCGACAAACCAGTCAGGGTGCAGTATAGCACCGATGAAACATACAACTTTCCTCTTATTCTTTAATGCTTCCCCCCCGCCCCCACCCACTATCATGACCCCAATTCTACCTTACAAATCAGGCTAGACCAGAGCATGTATACTGCTACAAACGAGCTCGCAACACAGAGAAGCCAGGACAGATAAACCCTTCAGGACCAATAATGAGAATAGCGATACCAGGAGGGGAAGGGGAAGGTGGGGGGAGGAAGGGGGAACTGATCACAATAATGTACATATAAGCCCCCTCCCAAGGGGAGGGACAATAAAGTGGGTGAAGGGAGGCAGTGGTCAGTGAAAGACATGAAAAAAATAATAATTTATAAATTATCAAGGGTTCATGAGGGAGGGAGGGGAAGGGAAGGGGGGAAATGAACTGATCCCAAGGGCTCAAGTAGAAAGAAAATGTTTTGAAAATGATGATGGCAACACATGTACAAATGTGCTTGACACCATGAATGTATGCATTAATTGTGATAAGAGCTGTTAAGAGTCCCCAATAAAACGATTAAAAAAAAAATGAATCTATGCACCTCAGAATGAAATACCCCCTGGTCCTGCCTGCCTCATGCTTATGCTTGAGCCCATTGCTGCAGTGTTAGGAGCTAGGAATTGCAAAAGAAGTTGTAGCAAAAGTTCAATAGATATTAGAGAGACTTAACAGTGACTGGCTTCCCGTGTGCTGGGCATGGGAGCTAAGAATTCCAGATGATCACTATGAGGGGCCTTCCCAACACTGGTAAAAAAGTTATCTGTTTATTTCATTTTTCAAGAAGCTTTGTGAAGCTCTCTGGTGTGGTGCTCTCTGTACACACACACACACACACACTCGATTTTTGGTAAGAAGGGGCTTGTGAGTATTTATAATATAATGGAAAATAAACTATATTGAATTCTGCCTGGTATTGAGGCAGTGAGTTTTTTGGGTTTTGACTACATTAACTTATATCAAGCTTTCCTCCACCTGCTGATTATAGATCCAGTTCTGGGCTAGTTTTGAGTATTTTTAACTTATATGAATGGGGAAAGTTCTTCCTCTGTAATTATATTAATTTCTTTGTATCTGTGGTTCACAGATTTTTGAGAGCGGATTTGAAAGACATCTCATTTGGAATTTTTCGGAAGTCATGTTCGCTATGAAGCAGTTTGAGCAGGTGGGCAAGATAATAAGTTCTGGGCTTTTTCTTTTTTCTTTCACCTTTCGTAGTAATACAAAAAACTGGGGATTCTGAATTTTTGTTGTTGTTTTTAAAAGAAATTCTATCTATTGCAATCCTAGATAATAATTGAAAGTTTATTTCATATTTTAAGACATGAAAAATGATAATTCTTTAAAAAGTTAAGCTCTGGAGTAAAATCACAAGAACGATTTAGGAACTTTTGTCTGAAATTGATGCATAGAATATGGCTTTTGAAAGAGTTTGCATTGGAGGAAGTGTGGAAATTCATTTTATTGACATATAGAGTATTTGTTTAAAATGTTTCTTGTTGTAATGCCAGTAAAAAATACTCAGGGTGGTTGTTTACCAGATAATGGTACAGAGTTTCAGATCTTTCAATAAATGCCCAAAGGGACATACCACTCTACTTCAAGCCTCCACCTGAAGGCCCTTAGGTCTACTTCCATGGGTCAGCAAGCCAACTTCCTGAATTAAAAGTGCCCAGAGTCCCTCCAGCATCAGTAAACCTTAGCCCAAAGAAACTCGGCTCCACTTCTGTGTGTTAGCAGATCCAACTGCCCCAATTACGTGCCCAGGGACACCCCATTCTACAAGCCAGGCTCCTGCGCAAAAGCATGCCTCTTGCTCCATGGGCTGGGAAGTCCATCCCTCTGTTCCTTGCTCTGGCTCCGGGTTCTGCCACTGCTCCTCTGATGGTATAGCTGTCATCTGGATCCTGGAGACTCACTGTGCAGGGCTCCTGTTGGTACTGAGGTCCCTCCTCCTGCATCTACACAGCAGGATGGCACTCCAGGGAATCCTGTTTGCAGTTACTCACGGGTGATTCCTAAGTTAGAGACTGCCTGGAAGAGCCACATTAAATAATTCACTGCCTGTGTAGGAATCTTCCCTTTATTAGATAATCTGGAGTTGATATCTGTTAATAAATGTGCTTTTCTTATTTTTAGCTTTTTCTACCAAGCTTTCTCTCATATCTTGAGAATATCTTCTTGATTGATGATGCTATCGTCAAAGATGAAGCTCTGGCTATTCTGACAAAACTCATTCTGAACAAAGCACCACCTCCCACTGCTGGTTTGATGGCCATTGAAAAGTACCCTCTGGTTTTCTCACAACAGACGGTGGGGTATGTTTTGTGTTTAATCTCTTTTTTGGGAAGATTACCCGTTTAAAGAAAATATATGAAGAATGCTGTGAAAAAATGAAGTCCTATATGTATTAGCTAGAATAGCTAGAAAGGTGTCCATGATATTACTTGGTAAAGGCAAGTGATAAAATTGTATATGATCCCTTTTGGCAAGTATAATATAAATATATCCATATATAAGGACACACAGACATATTAACTTTGTTTATATCAAGTGGATAGTAAACATTTATAGATGCATGTGCTGTTGTAAGAAATTCTACAGAAAGGCCCCATGTATTCTTCACTAGGTTCCGATTGGTAGCATCTTGTACAAGAATACTGTATTATCAGAACTAGGAAATTGATATTGATCGCATCTACCTACTTTGTGCCTGCTGCACCAGGTTTACGTGTACTCATTGGTTATGTCTATGTATTTAATCTTACGTAGTGTCATCAGATGTATGCTGCTGTTGTTGGGTCTCATCGAGTCGGTTCTGACCCATAGCGACCTTAAGCACAACAGAAAGAAATGCTGCCCAGTCACCTGCCATCCTCAGTTTTTCCTATCCTCAAGCCCATTGCTGTAGCCAGGGTGTCAGTCCAGCTCCCTGAGGGCTTTCCTCCTTTTCACTGCCCCTCTACTTTTACCAAGCACGATGTCCTTCTCCAGGGACTGGTCTCTCCTATTGATCCATGTACAGCTTCCATATGAGCACAATTAAGTATTTTGGAATTCTCATTCTTAAGGCTTTTCCTAGTTTGTTATGGCCCACACAACAATCAGAAACACAATGTATCACAGTGGGCAGATCTGCTGCAAAAGTATTAAAAAGCAAATGTCACTGAGGACTAGTGTTATCAACTTGATGTGAAAGCTGCACCATGAATAAGGAAAATTTAAGAAGAGTTGATGCATTCTTGATTAAGGAAGACAGACGAATAGGTGCATTTGCATTTGAATTGTGGTCCTGGTACTACGGACTGCTAAATGGACACACTGATCTGTGTTGAAAGAAGTAAGGCCAAAGTGCCCCTTAGAGGTAAGGATGTCAAGCATTCATCGTCACCGTACATACTTTGGACAATTGTCAGGAGAGGCGAATCCCCGGAGAAGGATGTCGTGCTTGATAAAGTACAGGGGCAGCAAAGGACAAGAAGTCCTTCATCGAGATGGATCGACACCGTGGTGCGTCAGTGGACTCAGGCATGGGAAAGATTTTGAGGATGGCACAGGACCATGTAGTGCTGCCTTCTGTTGTGCATGGGTCAGAGCCAACGCCATGGCGCCCAATGAGACAGGAGAATAAACAAGTCTTTCTTGGAAGAAGTACACTTGGAATGCTGCTTAGATGGCAGGCTGATGAGACATACTGCTAGGGAGAGCTGGTTCTGGAGAATGATATCATGCTTTGTATAGAAAAGGGTCGGCATAAAAGAGGAAGCCCCTCAAGGAGATGGACTGACCCATTCACTCAAACAGTGGGCAGCTGTGGTTCAAACAGCCTAGGGATCAAAGCTTCTGGCATCCATTGTATTGTTAGTTTTCCATGGGAGCGAGAGAGCACCAGATGACTTGAACTTCTGGAGGTTGGGGAGTGACCCATCCTGTTACCATGAGTCTCTTTTGCCAACCTTGAAAGTAGCCTCTCACCCCAAACATCCCACAGACTTATGTTGGTTTTCTTTATTTGGTAAGTTCTGATTCCTAGGGAGTAAGTTATGAATAGCTTCTTTTGAATTATTTCTTGGGAGCTTTTCTCTTGATTTCACAACACCAAGCCTGTATGCAACAGGCTTGTAAGTGGCTGAGACTTTGGGTTCTCAAGGGGAAGACAGGGTCTGACTGAGGCTGGGTATCAGACCTCACCCAGTCACCTCAGCCATGTCAAATCCTCCTTGGAATGTGGCACGATAAGAATAAACAAAGGCAGGCATATTAATGTCAAGCTAGTTTCCCTGAGAAAACACCCCTCCTCTGTCCTCCCCAACCCCCCAGGCATGTGGTGTGTGAATGGGCACCTTTGTCTTGTCACTTCTGAAGACTTTTTAAGATAAATACCATATATACTCTTGTATAAGCTGAGTTTTTTTTCAGCACGTTTTTAATGCAGTTTTTGTGGTAAAATTAGGTGCCTCGACTGATTTTCAGGTTGGCGTATACTCGAGTAAATATGGTAATTCAGGTCTTTGAACTACACCCATTCATCTCACAGGTTTTGTGTTGAGAATAACTCCATGAGAAATTAATTTATTCCTTCATAGGAACTGGAGGTAAAGACTTCTTTTGGGGGAATTGTATTCTTTTTTCTTTTTCTTTTTTTTTTTTTTTAACATTCTTGAGGAAAGGGTATGAAGGGATAGAGAAGATGATTTTAAAAATAATGGAACATGTGTTTAGGGGGAAAGTGAATGTAGGGGCCGACGTTCCTTCTTCTAGTACGACCAGCACAACCAGATTTGGGCTGAAAGCTTTCCAGATAGAGGGCGAGTTACTGCCAAGACGGGTCAGGATTGAGCTCAGCGTGTTTGAAAAACAGAGGAGGATCGGTGTGGCCAAAGTGCACTGAGCAAGGAGAGCGGGTGGAAGGAACGAGAGAGGTGGGAGGACAGAGCACATCATGCCCATAGGCCCAGCTAAGGAGTTGGGATGTATTGCGGGAGCTCATTGCACGGTGTGAAGCAAGGGAATCAAGGCAGCACGTGAACTCATATTCATGTGCTTACTTCTATCCATGCCTCAAATGCTCCGCACATGGAAAAGAACTGACTTCGTTTCAAAATTCACAGGGCAAGGGCCTGTACATCCTCTCCCTATTTTAAGCATGTATTTTTGTTTTTAATCTTTTCGTCTTTCAGACCCTATTTAAAGCAGATGAAGACTAGATCCAGGGAAGAGAAGGAACCAATTCCAGTGTTGGATCATCTCTTGTCTATAATTCAGCTGCCTCCAAATAAAGATGCTACTTACCTTTCACAGTCTTGGGCAGCACTTGTCGTGTTACCTCATATTAGGTAAGAAACCAGGTTGACTTAAACATTTGCTAGCCTGCTTGGACAGTCAATGAAAAGGCCACAGATGCCAGCCTGAAGTTCTCTCTCTTTCTCCCTACCTCTTGGACAGGCTTCTCGACAAAGAGAAGGTAATACCACTGGTCACATGCCTTATAGAGTCACTCCTCACAGCTATTGACAAAGGGAGCTTTGGAAAAGGTCAGTTACAATCCCCGTTTGTTCTCTTCCCATTTTCTATGAGCTGATGCAGAGTAAATGTAAACACATAGCATACCAGGGAATAGTCATCTCATTGTCTGCTGGCATAAGCCCGTGTGCAGGACCCGGAAAGAAAGGGGATATGGGAGAGTCGGAGAGTAGCTGCACTTGTTTCCCGGAGTGGGCTGGCTGTGTGGCCTGAGTGTAGACACATCTGAAGGTGTATTGAAAGGAGGCCACGGTGTGTGGGGCCACTTGTGTTCGAGCCTCGCCCGGCCCATGTCCACGACCCTAGTACACACTGTCAGCTCCCAACAGTCTAGCCACCTAGACTGAGCAGGGCTTCATCCATTATCAGCCTTCTGACCCCTCTCAGAGGAACCCTGGTTAAGCACAAGCTTGGCTGTTTGAACCTGCTCCCTGGAAGAAAGATGTAGCCATATGCTTCTGTCAAGATTTCCAACCTTGGGGCAGCTCTGCAATGAGTCAGGATCTCCTCTTTGGCAGGGGGTTGGGTTCGGATATGGGCTGCACTTACACATGCACCCCCTCTGCCTGGTGTCCTTCCTAGATTCTTGTGGTTTGATAAACCCCTGCTATGTTTTAAAGTTGAGCTCAAGCACAGCTCCCCCAGGAAGACTTAAGATTCTTTCCAGTGGCCCAAAGCCCTATGTCTTGTTGAGTACTTGCAGTTTCCCCATCTAGTTTGAGATCAGTTTTCAAACAGGTGTGTTATATTATTCTAGCATAATATTATACATATATATTTGTTGTTGAGAATTTACGCAACTGTGTGTATCAGTTCAAGAATTTGCATGTGCATAATTCAGTGACGTTGACTACATGTTTCCGTTGTGCGACCATTCTCACCCTCCTCTGACAATGACCCCCTCCTTAACATAGATACATAGCATACCAGGGAATAGTCTGGTATGCCCCTACGTTCCCTGTCTCATCTTTCGAGTGGCTGGTGCCAGGTTGTTTGCATATAGCTGTCTCTGGAAAGAGCGCAGTGTTCAAGGCAGCCGTTCTCAAGCTAAACTGCTGTGCACTTTAAAGAAGACTTCAGAGGGTAGTTTTTGTTTAAGGTTTCAAGATTATCTCAGGGCAACAGTTTCAGGGATCATCCAACCTCCATGCTTCCAGAAAGTCTGGAGTTTGTCAGTATTTGAAATTCTATTCTGTATTTCCCCCTTTTTGATGAGAATTCTTTTACAGTATCTTTGTTCAGTTTCTAGTAATGGAAGCCAGGCACCATCCTATCCTGGTCTTATGGCAAAAAGGGCAGGTGTTCATGGAGGCAAGTAGAGACACTCCGTTTCTTCTCTGTTCTACAGGTTTATTTAAACTTTCTGGAATCACGGAGGTTGAATGATCCCTCGAAAGTGCTGCCCAGAAATAATCTTTAAAACATAAACCAAAACTACCCTCTGATTCACTCAATTATATATCAGTTTAATATAGTGGTTCTCAACCTTCCTAATGCTGCGACCCTTTAATACGGTCATGTTGTGGCGCGCCCCCCCCCCCAACCATAAAATTATTTTTGTTGCTACTTTATCACTGCCAGTTTGTTACTGTTGTGAATCGGGCAACCCCCATGAAAGGATTGTGCGACACACACACACACCCCAAAGGGGTCACGACACACAGGTTGAGAACCACTGGTTTAATAGGTTTTGTGTTAAAGACTGAGGCGCCCTGATGGCACCATCAGTTAAGCATTGGACTGTTAAGGCAAGATAGGCAGTTCAAACCCACTAGCTGCTCCATGGGAGATAGATGAGGCTATCTGCTCTCATAAAGATTTACAGCATCAGATAACCTTGCATTGAGAGTTGTTTTGAGTCGGGATCAACATCAATTCAATGGCAGTGGATTTAGTGTGTTAGACACTGAGCAAATATGGTAGAGAATAGAGTAGATTTTCCCCATGTCAAATGCTTATGAGCCACACAGGGTAGTGGCCACCATATTATACAACCCAAGTCAGATCATTCCCACGATTGTGGAAACTTCCATTGGACAATGCTGGTATAGTCTTGTGCTGGAGCTGGCAAACATTTTCTGTGAAGAACCTAATAGTAAATATTTTACGATTTATGGGCCACATGTAGTCTTCTTGCATTTTTTTTTTTTTTTTTGCTTTGTTTTGTTTCTTAAAACAACCCTTTTAATATTGTAAAAACCATTGTCAAGTTTTCAGGTAGGACAACTGCTTACCTGATTAGGCTTATAGCCATAGTTTGCCAACTTGTAGTCTAGGTATTAAAGGATGGTTTGTTACCATTATTAATGGAAGGGATTATAGGTAGTAGCCATTGGGCTTATGAATTACAAGTTGGAGAAATAAAGTCAATCCGCATTTCATTCCGAGATAATGTCTTAGCTTTTGTAAAGCCCCAGTCTTCTTACCGCAAGAGTCAGACCTTCCCGTGGGTGTTGGAACCATTTAATTTCCTCGTTAGCTCAGTTCATGGAATGTTACATTTTTATTCTCTATGTCTGGATGTATTTTTTCTCTTAAAAAATATGCAATTGCCTTTTTTCATTCCTGCCATATGACACATTTGATGGATAATTCATTTAGAAAACAAAAGTTCACAAACGTCCCGTAAGTAGGAAGTGTCAGCTCAGTGAGATGTGTAGTGTGTCACGTCAAGGAGATAACACAGTTTCTCTTGTTTTCTGCCCTAAGGAACCTTATTTGTTCTCTGTCAAGCTGTAAGTGCTCTGCTCAGTTTGGAAGAATCCTCTGAACTTCTCCGTTTGGTTCCCGTGGAACGTGTGAAGAATTTAATATTGTAAGTAGCTTTACAAGGGGGCTTGAAAATGTTCACGGGAAAATGGAAATGAAAGATAATAGAATAACTACTGTTGGTGCAATCTTTAAATACAGAATCACTTGTGTGCAGGGGTACTTCAGTGTGTCTGAACGTGTGTTACAGAGGTTAGAGGTCATAGAACAATCCCATCACATTGCACAGTGCTGACCACTGGTAACTTCGTCAGTGGGTCCAACATCCACATGCTCACGCCTCGTTTCATATTCTACCTCAGATGGACGTGATCTCTGTTGCAGGAAAATTTCCTTACCCCTCCTCTTTATGCATTTGTCTTAGGTTTAGCCAGCTCCTGGGATTTCGGTCTCTGAGTCACACAGGGCCATTGCTGGAAAGTCCCAGACTGCTTGGCTTAGAGACCTCTTGAAAACCTGGTAAAGCTCTTAGCTGCTTTTTCTGGAGTTGGATCCATTTTCTTTCCATGATTTTAAAACAAGCAGATGATATTTGCTTCATTCAGTAAATGTTTACTCCATTCTCACCCGTATCTGGCACTGTTCTGCATCTCGGCTGACACAGCCCAAGTTCTCTGCCCTCTCAAAGCTAACATTCTAGCAGGAAGACTCACTAAGCTCACTAAGGGCACTGCAGGGGCCTTCAAAAAGTTCCTGGAAAAGTGAAATAAAAAATAGTGGAATTTTTCCTCGAATGTTTTAAGGTATGTTAGAAGGTGGTAAGTGGAAGATATGGAAAATAATGCAGACTCAGGAGATTGGATGAGTCCAGTGCTGGGCACCGATGGCAGGGAGTAGGAAGGTCTTCACCAGGAAGACGTGACCTGAAGGCAGCAAGAGAACAAGCCACGGTGTTGGGGGAGAGGCCGCTCCAGAAAGCAATGCCCATGCCACGGACTGGACAGGCAGTATGCTCTCGGGATGGACTTAGCCCGAACAGCAAGAAAGCCTTTAAAGTGGTTGAGGCTTGGAGTCAATACGGGACATGGGACCAACAGAGGAGGACCTAGGAGTGGGTGGGGGCAGACTGTGAACTGCCTGCAGACCATTGTAAGTCCTTTTAGTTTGAGTGCCAGGGGGTCAGTATAGAGATGATCACAGCTAACACTCATCCAGGGTCTCTCTCCATTTCAGAATCAAGTGAAGTTGCCATTTCTTGGCAGTTCATTGAATTGGTTTAAACTTCCTGCAGGGAGGAACTTTCTCCTTTACTGTTCTACGGAAACTTATTCCTCCTATGTTCCTTGGCATAAGCAGTTTTAGGCATCCAAGTTTTGAAACAAAAAGGGACTTGCACAGAGTGTGTGGAATCCATGACTTCTGTGGAAGTCCACGATGACCCTCCTAGCCAGATAGCTGCTAGCCTGGTAGTCCAGAAGCAGCAGCAGATGTGCTCCTATCTTTCTGGTGGTAAAGTTTGTGGAGGCACACCTCTGTCCTCATGTTATGACCTGTGATGAACAAGTGTGTAAGTTGCACAGCCAAAGCCTTTGGACCTTGTCACCCCCATTAACTTACTCTTTGGCCTTGAGCAAGCTAGTTAACCTCTACTTCCTTATCTCTAAAGGGGATGACCTTACTTCCCCCATGGAGATTAAATTAGATCATGTGTGCAGTGATCGCCATGCACAGATAGCATTTATTGCATCCTTATTATGTACCAGGAGTCCTGCTGGCACAGTGGGTTCAACATCGGGCTACTAACCATAGGTTGGCAGTTTAAACCCACTAGCAGCTCTGGGAGAAAGATGAAGGGGTCTGCTCCCATAAATAAAGATTTACTTGGAAGAGCTGTGGAGCAGTTCTACTCTGTCCCATAGATTTACTCGGAGTTGGAATCAGCTGGATGGCAGTGGGTTGGTGGGTTATAATGTGCCCATCACTGTCCATAGTACAAGGCCTGCATCCATGTATCTCATCCTCAAAACAGCTCCCAGGGATGGCTACTCTTAACTGTGGGTGAGGGAACTCGGGTTTTCAAATATATCCAGAATGCAGCTGCTTCTCAACCCTCTGATCTAAGCCATCACCGTCGCTTGTCTGGATGATGGCGTTTGTCTCTTACTGCGTGTCCTTGCTGACCCTTGCCCTGTAGTGGGGTCAGCAAACATTTGAGACAGAAGAGCCCTTCCTGCCCCTCCCAACAGTTTAAAAATTGTTCAAGAGCCATAGGTGTATTCTTACAAACAAATGAAGTCACCATTGTCTGACTCTAACATTTGTTTCAGTCTTCCTTCAGAACCACATGGATGTACTCAGAGAGCCACGTGTGTCGACCCCTGCCCTATTGCTTTCCCTTCCGCGGCCCACAGCCAGAATGACGCCTTGAAATTGAGGGCAGATCAGGCCGCTCCTTTCCTTGAGCAGGAGTGGGACTGCAGACATTTGGGGCTGTTACACCTGCAGGGCTGCATCTAGGGGGCTTCGGTCTAGTGGGTAGAGGCCAGTCATGCTGCCAAATGTCCTGCAGTGCACAGGGCAGCCCCCACCACAGAGATTACTTCTCTCCACAGTCAGTAGTCCCGCTGTGAGAAACCCTGCTCTGGCGGTGGCCTCTCACTCAGAATAGAATCTCAGCCATGTTTTCAGAGCTCTTGTCTGCTTCTATTCTCACCCAGGCTCCTCTGCCCTCTTCTCCAACTCCTCGTCTTTGTCAGTGCAATTCTGACCGTAGAGGCCTCTTAGGTCTTCCTCAAATGGACAGACATGCCTCTCTCTGGGTCTTGGAATTGATGCTCCTTCTGCCTAGAATGCTTTTCCTCCAACTGACCACATGACTCACTTCTTTACTCCAGTCTGCCTTTCACGCCTAACCCCTGGCAAAAACTCGCCTCCCCCTGGCCCATACATGCCCGTCTCTCTCGCTAGCCTCCTTTCCCTGATAGACTTCTCTTCATGGCACTGATCACTGTCATACTTCTTTGGATTTAGTGTATTTTTATTGGTTATCTGCCCTTATCAGAAAGGAGCCCTGGTGGCATAATGAAGTATGCATCGGGCTGCCAACTGCAAGATCAGCAGTTCAAAGCCACCATCTACTCTGTAGGAGAAAGATGAGGCTTTCTAGTCCCATAGAACTTTACCTTCTTGGAGAGCCACAGACGCAGTTCCGCTCTGACCCATAAAGTCACTGTGAGTCGAAATCGGCTCAGCAGCAGTGAGGTTGGTTTGGTTTGCCTTATCTTTCTGTTAGTTCCTGGGAGATAGAGACTTTCTCTTTGCTCCAATGCCATCCACACTGCTCAGAAGGTAAATACTTGTGGGCTGCTGACAGCATACAGTAACAGGTAAAGTAACTCGTGTGCTGAAGAATGATGCGCTGTGGTCATGTTCAAACTAGCCGCCTTACCCCAGAGCCTATGTACTAAACCATTTCTTCATTCCTTCTTCTCTCCCCGGCACCGTGCCTAGCTCCTGGCTAACACGCCATTTATGATTATATGCCTTCCTCTTCTGTGATTCTTGTTGATAACTGAGGCAGCACTGGATTTGTAGCTGAGATAACGTGTTGTGTCACACAGAGTTGTGTGTCCCTGAACATGTCACTCAGTGGCCAGGCCTCCAATTCTTGCACTGTGACATGCTGCCAGGGGTCCACATAATGCTTCTGCTCACCTGACATTTCTTTCGTCCTTGGTGATGTCCTACAGTGTACAGGCTCATCTGAGCCCTTGGGCATGGTGAGGGGCCAACTTGGCTTTAATCAAGCCCTTGTTTGTTGCAGAATGTTGCCTCTGGAGCCATCCGTGTTGCTGTTGGCTGATCTCTATTATCAGAGATTATCCTTGTGTGGCTGCAGAGAACCACTTTCGCAGGAAGCTTTAATGGAATTATTTCCGAAGTTACAAGGAAACATTTCAACTGGCGCATCCAAGGTAAGGCTGGTTGGTGAAGTGTCCTCAGCCACTCTCCTTTGCTCTTCTTTCAAACAGCCAGTGGGAAGTCAGGCTGGCGTCAGAAAATGCCCAACCCCCAAAACACGAGCCCGCAGACTGGCGGCAGCAGGATCCCCTGGGAAGTTTAATAAAAGTACAAATGCGGAGTCCTTACTCTCAAGTTTCTGAGTGAGCAGGGCTAGGGTAGAACTAAAAAACCACTATCACTTTTAAAAACCCTCCTGGTAATTCTGCTGCTCATGCTGGTGTGGAAATAGCCAAATACATTGCTTAGGAATAAAAACCAGTCATTCCCATTGAATGTTAAGCTTAATCAAGTTCTTTGCACTTACACGGGGACTTCAGAAAGTTGGTGGGGAAATGGAATGGAAAGATCACGGAGTTTTCCCACAAATGTTTTGGAGAGCCCTCGTATTTAGTGTCATAGTTCAAAGAAACAGCGTGGCCGAACAGGGTGATGAAGTGTCCAGGCACTGCTTGAACAGGTGTCGATTGGTGTGGAACCATGAGAATCCCACCTGGGTTTAACATGTAGTCTACTCATCTCCTGATTGCATAAAGCTTAGCCCTCGTTGGCTGTTGATCAGTGTCTTCTTGTGGTTAATCTTTGGAGTTTGAAACTGTGCCTTTTACTTTCTCTAGATACGGCTTCTGACCATTAGGATTCTAAACCATTTTGAAGTCCGGCTTCCAGAATTGATGGAGGTATTTTAACTGTTTGATGTTAGGGGCTTTTCTAGAAATGTAATTTTACATATATTTCCAAAAATGTTACCTTTGCAAAATAGAGTCTAACTCTATGTAGCCTTGGTGGTACAGCGATTCAAGCACTTGGCTGCAAGTGGAAATGTCTCAGCACAAACCCTCCAGCTGCCTCACAGGAGGAAGGAGGTGGCGGTTGCCCAGTTCTGCTCTGCCATATAGGGCTGTTGTGAGTGAACGTCAACTTGATGATGCTGATTTATAGAAAGATCTATCATAAAAAATGGAATTGTTTTAATAGGGAGAAAGGGTAAGTCATGGGTTAGTGGAGATGCAAGTGTTAACTTGAGAGAAAGGGAAGTCAATATATAGTAAGCAGGAGATTGGGGGGGATGAGGTAGGGGCAGGGGAAGACAGGCTTGCAAGAGTTAAAGGCAAAAGAAGAAAATACTATTCTATATACAATCCTACAATAGTGATCTACAAGTAGATGATTGGGTAGTGAGGCAGGCTGAACAGGTGTGTAGGGAGAGGGAATTTTACCCACCCTCTCCCCCCCCCAAAAAATTGAATTCTATTTTTGGCCCATTCTTATTTTCATTCCCATTATCAAGGCCACCACTGAAAATCCACAATTAGCTGGTGAACCTTCTTCTGACTTTTTGACCTACTTTTACTGGAATTGTGGAGATTTCCTATATTTGTTCCTCTAGCTCTACCACTTTTAAATTTCAAATCGTATTCCACGGTTTAAAATATCTTAATTTATTTAATCAGTGATAGGTGCCTGGATGAATTGTTACTGGTTTTACATTATTTCCAGCAAAGAAGTGGTGGACGCCGTTCCCCAGCTACCTTTACAGAGGGAACCATTTGTGGTGTGCACATTGCTAGAAGTAGCGTCGTACAGTGAATGTGTGTGTGGTACTTCATGACAAATATCACCCATCAATTTCAGTTACTTTGAGACTCGCTTCCCTGTTATATATCTGGTATTGCAATATCAGAGACTAACCCTAAATATTCTATCAAAAAGTAAATGATATGAGGAAAGCGAGTCATTCACATAGGAATGAATTGCATATTCAATTTGAAGTGTCAACACATTGCCGCCATTGCTCTTTGAGAGCTGTGGTCACATTTGTCGTTCATTTTTGAAAAGCAGAGTGCTGACTACCTTCTTGGTTTCTTGGCTGTCCAGGACGATGGGCTGTCAGAGAGCCAGGCTGTGTTTGCTGTAATACGCCAGGCGGAACTCGTCCCAGCCACCGTGAATGATTACAGAGAGAAACTGCTGCATCTACGGAAGCTGAGACACGATGTGGTGCGAACTGCAGTCCCCGATGGCCCACTGCAGGAGGTAAAAAGATGGCTCTCTCTCGCCCTCTCTGAATGCTTTGAAACTTGGTTAGCTGGCATCTAAAAAGCTGTTATGTACCAATAGTTAAAAGAAGAAAAAATTTAAGCAAGATAGATCTAACTTCTTGCAAATGCTTTGAGTTAAATGAGTCTGCCAGCCTTTTAAAGAACAGGAACGATGTGCTGTCGTCCCTTCTCTGGGGATGGAGACAGTGCAGAAATAGTGGCCAGTCCTCTTTCGTTTTTATTCTTTGTCTTGATGGAACAGGAATGTGTCTCCATTGGCAGTTGGTTTTGCTTAGGCTCCCTCTGCTCTGCTACACGTCATTCAGTTGCAGCATAGGGCACATGAGCACTTCATTTTTTAACTCTCTCCTGGGAAATAGGTGAAGGTTTAAGAGCAGATCATCGTTTTAGATCCCATGATTGATACCCATTCTGTGTCATCCCCTTCCCTGCAGTTCCCTGAGTGTAACAGCACCCATCCACCTCCTCGCTTTACTTCCCCTCTCCCTTTCTTTTTCTTTCCTACCCCTTCTGAACTTTGCCCTTGGGTAAATGCTTCCTCCTTGCTCCCAAGTGGCCGATTATTCTAAGGTGTACATATATTAATAATGTCATTCTTCCTCTTATAGATCTACTGATTGACAGGAAATTGAGCAACAGATACTTCTAGCTTCAAAGATGGCAAAGGCTAAAGTCCCAGGGGCTCCGCTGGCTCAGTCTGCCCAGCAGGCCTGGTCTCTTTCATGATTTTGAGTTTTGTTCCACATCTTTCTCCTTCTCTGTCGGAGACCTGATGTGTGATCCCTTTCGGAGCAGTTGGTAGTGGTAATTGGGCACCATCTGGTTCTTCTGGTTTCAGGGACCTGGAATCTGAAGTCCCAGTGATCTAATTGTACAAGCAAATTAATCTCCAACCAAATGAGCATTTAAAAATGTATTCCTTTACTTTTATCACATTTCCTACTTCATTAAGCATAGTTTGATTCTTTTGCAAATTAACCCCTAGCCAAAAAAACCCAAAAACATTGTGGTCCAGTTTTGTCGATATTATTGTTCTTTCCAAACTGTAGGTGACATCTTTTCTTTTTTTAAATGAAATTTTAAAGGGTAGAGTTTAAGTGATTATGATCTAAATGTGGGTTGGGGTAATTTGTTGAATAAGGAAACAGAACAGACTCTTCTGGTCACCAACTTTATCCCATGACTGTGTAGTAGAGTGTTCAGGGTTGTGGGCCTGGGTCTCACTGAAACTTCCTGGACCCTAAATCTCTCTGTCTCTCAATTTTCTTATTCGTAAAAATGGGAAAATAATCTCTAACTCACTGGGCTGCTCCACAATTATATGTGATCAATATACTATACTTACAACAGTGCTAAGCATTCATTAATAGTAGCTATCCTAATTGTTAGTGGTCCTTTATGGAATATACATGGAAGAGCCACAGTGGGGTGGCTGGAGATGGAAGACCCCACGCTACATTGAAATGCAGCACAGCCTTGGTGACTGGGTGGACTGGTGAATACAGTATCGCTGTGCCAGCTGCTATTTTCTATAGTAAATGCGGACGCGGTGTCCAGGAAGGGTTTCTGGAGAGGGTGGTGTTTGTGCGTCTCTTTGAGACATGGGAAATGCTCCACATGAGAGGAACAGTGTGTATAAAGGTAGCAGGGTATGCAAGAACATGGTTGGTAGATGGAAACTATATATACGTAGTTTGATATGGTTGAAGGAATCTGGGACAAATGTAAGGTTACCATGCCATTCTGTCTGTTGGTTCAGATGTCCCTTCTCCATCCTAGTTCTGTTCTACTGTCTTCAGTTTACAAACATGATTGTTCTGCTTATAATTCAAATGCCATATGACTCCATAGTTCAATCACATCAAAAAGAGTTGTACAATCCATCAGTACAATAAATTTTAGAACATTTTCTTCCTTCCTGTATTCATCGTTAGTAGCTCCCCATTTTCTCCTGCCATTCCCCCCAGGACCATTAATCCAGTAATTGTCTCTATAGATTTATCTATTTTGGATTTCATATACAGAAAAACTGTATAGGGAAAGAAAAAAAACCAGTGAAAAGTTAAGAAAAAACCTAACAGCAGTAACAAAATAAAAGATGAATATCTCAAAAAGAAAACAAAATATTAAAAACTTGAACAAATTTTAAATGGAACAGAAGGAGATCACATGATAGATAACATCTTAAATTTTAACTGCGTTTGCAGGAATCCACTTTCCAATGCATTCTGCTTGATTTTTTCTTAAATCATTTTATTGGGGACTTGTACAACGCTTATCACAATCCATACATACATCCATTGTGTCAAGCACATTTGTACATTTGTTGCCATTAGCATTCTCAAAACATTTGCTGTCTACTTGAGCCCTTG